GCTGTTGTTCAGCATCTTAGCTGTAGAGGGCAGTGTCACTGGCCCGCATATGTGGGATCCGAACCGGGGCCCTCTGGCGTCCCAAGCCAGCTCTTAACTATCGCACCACTCGGCCGGCCCCAGACTGTCTCATTTTAAAAAGTGCTGCTCAGCTTACATACAGCCAGGCTCTCCAGAGAGCCAGTTGTTTCCTAGAACTGGCTTTTTAAGCCTTCAGCCTGATCTTCTGTGATCACACTGTTGTAGAAAAAGGTTGGCTGATTTCTACCCTGCAGGTTGCTTGAGGTGTTGTAGATAGCTCTGGCCCCCGTGCTCTAGAGAAAAGTACAGTAGTACCTTGGCTTGTGAGCATAATTCGTTCTAGAAACAAACTACTCGTGTTGCAAGACATCACTCGTTTACCACGTTAAAATGTATTAGAAATGTTTGCTCATCTTGCAGAACACTCGCAAACCAAGTTACTTGCAATCCAAGGTTTTACTGTCCTGAAAAGTGGATCTCAGTTATTTAATACTTTAAGACCATCTCTCCTCCAGGGACTCCGGCACTTTTCATGCACATATTTAACTAAATGGACATATCTGATCAAAAGTAATTCATAAAATAAGTGGCCACTGTGGGGAACTTTTAAAATCCCCAAATTTCATTTTCCTAAAACCAAACTGGACAATAATAGTGCTAAAATTGGCAAAGCTGAATGGAGTGCCTAGTTTGGATGGAAGTTTGAGGCTTCCAAATGGGACCGAGAATCTGAAGTTGCCTCTTTGCAAAATAAAGTTTTAGAATTAACAGAGGCTACAGAACTTTTAAAGAGAGAAAACATGGCTTCCCACATGTCCTTCATCTGTAGCGCTGTCTTGCCCTTCCCCTGTATTCCATTGTCTCAGGCTCCTTTTCTGGGTACCCTATTCTATGAATACTTTGCCTTAGGCTTCTTCTCCCGCACCTTCAAGCTCTTTTTCTCCTTTGTTTCAAGCTCCACCTCGATGCCATCTGATGCCATCTTGCCTTCTACTGTGGCTTCCTTATCCCCAGATTCACCTCTGGTGCCTTCTTCCCCTGAATTCTCTCCCAGTCCTTCCTCCTCTGAACTTATCAGTACCTTTCCATTTGAAGTGAAGCCCTCTGGGGATCCTAATAGACCTCAGGTTTCATACATTCCCTGGACTAAAGCAGAGTTAGTAATTTCCTAAGGTAACTGAGGACCCTCACGAGTTTGCTGAGGAATTTGATATTGTTATTCAGACCTATCGGCCTGAGTTTTCTGATTTGTATCAGCTAATTCATATGTTAGTTGGTGAAGGCCAGGCTCGATATTGGATGAGAAATGCCCAATGGGAACATTCTAAAAGGGGTTTAAAAAAACAAGCCTCTAATTTGTTGAGAAGAAACTAGAGAACTCACTAGAGAACTACACTGAGCAATTCCTCAGGCTTTCCCAAAGCCTGTTGATTGGAGCAAAATTCAGACTTGCTTACAAAAGTCTGATGAATCTATTCATAAATATAACCGACTTCAGGTAATTTTTAATGAAAATTCTGGCCTTCCTTCAGATGTTGATTTCACTCAGGTAACCTTTAACTCTTTGTTTGTCAATGGGCTGAACCAAGACCTTTCCCTCCTAGCTAAGAAAACCAGGATGGAATGGGAGACCACGTCCACCCTAGATTTGGTCAATTTGGCTAATCAGTTTGCTCATACTCTAGATGGGCCACCTAGAAGTAAGATTGCCAAGACTTTTCATTCTCAGCTTTGGCAGATGAAAGCCCCAATACGAAACCAGAAGACTCCAAGTTTCTGACATTTTTACAAGGAGCCAGGATGTTGGAAAAGGGACTGTCGCTAGTTTAAGTGCTTCAGGAGCTCTCGGTCTTGTAATCAGACTTCTAACCCCCCTCCCAAGGTCTTCCTCATCCCCAGTGATGGGGCTCCAAGGAACTACAGGGACTTTTTCCAATCCCTCCTCTTAATCGGCTTGGAGAAACTTTCCTTCAAATTGATAATGAATCTCTCTCTTATGACCAAACCTACGTATGTGTTACTAAAGAATGACAGTCTTGACCCAATTTCATGGGAAGAATGGGACAACATAGCTTTCAAAGGCTTAAATGAGAGCTGAATGACCCCCACACCGCTTTTGAACATCCCAATGATCAGATCCTCCTTCTCCTTTTTGCATATGAAAAGGAAAGGAATGCCCTTGGGGTGCTCACCCAAAAAACATGGGGACCACCATAGACCCCTAGGACACTGTAGTCAGCACCCGCCTGGTTAAGGCCATAGAGGAAATTGCTGGGGGATCCCCTCTAACCATCTTTGTGCCCCACGCAGTAGAACCCCTTCTGAATTCTCAACACAATCAACATTTTTCAGTTAGCCGCCTCCACCTCCTATGAAATCCTTGTTAACTGCTCCTCACATGACTCTTTCACGATGTAATAACCTTAATCCAGCTACTCTTCTCCCTTCTGAGACCGATGAAGGCCCCTCATGACTGCCTGACACTAACAGATCACCTCCTGACTTCTCATCATGATTTGCAGGAGGCTCCTCTGAGTAAAGCTGATTTCTCGTGATTTATGGATGGTTCATGTTTTCAAAATGAAAGCGGTAAGTACCACGCTGGTCATGCAATTGTAGCCCCTTTTGAAGTCCTTGAGGCATTTTTACCTTTGGCTACTTCAGCGCAGCAGGCTGAGTTATATGCTTTTACTCAGGTTTGTATTTTAGCCAAGGGCAAAACTGCCAGCATTTATACTGATAGTCAATATGCCTTAGGAGCAGCTCATGATTTGGGAATGTTATGGAAGCTATTTGGCTTCTCTCCTTCCAGTAAGGAAATAAAACTTAAAATGGCTCGTATGTTCAGGAATTATTGGATGCTATACTTTTACCTGCTGCATTAGCTAGTTGTAAGATCCCAGGGCACTCTAAACTTGACTTTGAAAGCTAAAAGAAATCACCTTGCTGACACTTCTACAAGGAATGCTGCCCTTAAAGGCATCAGCAGCAGTCAAACCTCTGTCATCGTCCAAAGGGATATTTCCCCAGTTGATAACGTAAGAAAAACTGGCCAGAAAAGCCCAACAGTTGGCTTCGGAAAAAGAAAAACAAGGTTGGAAATCCAACAATTGCTGATTTGATAGAAGAGAAAGCTCTGGTTAGGAGCAAATAACAACCCAGTCCTACCAGAGACCCTGAAGTTGCCACTCTTAATTACTGTATATGCATGAAACCATTGGCCACTGACAATTATGAATCAATATTGGTGGGGAGATATTATTAAGGCCGTGAAAAGTGCCTGCCTTACTGTCCAAAGTGCAACCCAGGAAAACCTGTTCACACTGCCCCTGGACATTTTAAACTTCCTAATGGAACATTCAGGATCTGGCAAATAGATTTCATACAGCTTCCCCTATCTCATGGATACACCTGTGTTTTAGTCATGGACTGTATGTTTTCTCACTGGGCTGAAGCTTTCCCTTGTAGACAGGCTACTGCCTCTTAGTGGCTAAAGTCCTGTGAGAGTGATTATCCCTACCTGGGGAACTTCTCTTGAACTCCACAGTGATCAAGGTATCCATTCTACTGGTCAGGTGCTTGAACAAGTCTGTGCTGGTTGGCCCGTTTTACAACACCCTTAATTATGAGGTTCCTGCAGTCTTAAGGTTGGATTTCAAAAACCATTAATAATTACCTTTAAATGGCAAACGACAGGGAAATTTCATCATCAGGGTGGTGTGTCTGTCTGTACAGACTATAAAAGTCACATTCTCCTGCTCAGCTCTCCACACTCCTATTTGATTCTCCCAGCTGCCTCACTGTTCAGGGACCAGGTAAGTGTGCTTTTAGTACTACTACCTGGAGGTCCTTTGCTTCCTTTCAGAATGGCATGAAAAGAGAATAGCCTGGAGAGAAAGTGGGTTTGTATCAACTAAAGATATTACCGGTAATTTAGAGGCTAGAAGCTGTGGCTAGGCTTTTCAAGACCACAGCCTGCAGAGCGCAGACCAGGTATGTAAAAAGTGAAGAATGTCATAATTACGAAGTGTTTGGCTCCAGGGAGTATCTCCTAACAGATGTACTGTAAGAACAGACATTTAACATACTGTCTAAGATGCTTATTTCTAAAACACACTGGCAGTCACTGGTACAGCTCCCAGTTCCCACTCCCTCTCTTTCCTCTCCCTGCTTCCCCAGCCTTTTCTTTACTGTCCCCCCACCTATGCCAAGGAAACAGCACAATGGCATGCATCTCCTGCTGGTAATCATCAGTATAAAACTCCACTTCAGCTTTTTGGTAAGTTCATTTCTTTCCCAATTTACAGGACACTGAAATGACTGCAAAAATGTCTTCTAAAGAACTGAAGAACATTTTTGAAAAATATGCAGCCAAAGAAGGTGATCCAAACCAGCTATCAAAGAATGAGCTGATGCTACTGATTCAGACTGAATTCCCCAGTTTACTGAAAGTGAGTGCACAAGGGCAGAGCTGGCTGAGCCGGGCCTCTGAGGGGGGGAAGGGAGGGGAGAGGATAGGGCATGTGAAGAGGCTGAGGTCCATGATACCGATCAGAGCTCCATCGGGGGAAAGCGCACAGAAGGCAAGGTGCAGCCATCCTTAAGGGAAAACACTTGAACATGTGCTTTCCTCTCCTGGTGGCAGGCCACATTTTAGATGGCTAGCTTCTAGAAAGCAGGGGCCGAGCCTCCTATCCCCCACAGCCTTAGCACAGAGCTCTCCAGGACCAGCCATAGTAAATGGAAGCAGTGATGGCACTTTTACCAAGCTAGACCTGAAAGACCCCCAGGTCGCCACGAAACACACTAAGGCCTCCAGCCTGGATTCAGCACGTCTGTGCCAGGCTTTAAGACAACAAAGAGGCCAGTAAGATAATATTAGTTGGCACTGGATGTGCTTCACTGTTATAGGTAGAATCTCTCAACAAGACCAACACCGACTTGGCAGTCTGTCAGAAGAACAAAACAAAAACCAAAAATGGCTTCCTGCTGACAAATTACCCTCGGTCGAAACCCATTTATATTTCAGACGCATTTAAATTTCTGTTAATTTGTGTTTAGCAATAAATTTGTGTTAATGAGGCAACCATGCATTTCTCAACCACTTTCAGGAAATGATAAAATGTCTTTAGCCATAAAGAACCATCACAGAATTCTCAGATTCAAAATGCATCTAGGGGCAGTAAGGAAAGAGAAAGCAGCATTCTCTGTGCTCTGATATACTTTCTTTCCTTGGCAACTAAAAACTATTTTCAAACTGGAAGGACTGCAAATGTTACATCCAACTTGGTCACTTTTTAGCTGTAACTTCAGGAGAAAGCATTTGCTTTCCAGATTTCAACCAGAAATGTCCCTTCTGCCAATATGACATGGAAGAAGGTTTCTGGTTTTAGTTGTTGAGGAGGTTTCTGTTTCTAGTACTAAAAACAAAAACGGCTGAATTCAATGACCTTATAATCCAATATCTTCTCATTTCCTTATGGTTGAAATATAAAATAACTTTAAAAAAACAGTTAAGGGCACTAGCAGAAACAGAGACGTTTTAATTAAAAATTAAAACAAATCTGAAAAAAAAATTTAATTCTAAAAAACCTCTTAATTTTTTCCAAAAGGAAGAAAAATAATAATAGAAAGGAATAATATTAAAAGGAAGGAATACAATAACAAAAGAAAGAAAAATAATGATCTGACAGGAGAGCCTAGGCCAGCAGTTCTCAACCTGTGGGTTGCGACCCCTTTGGGGGTCGAACGACCCTTTCACAGGGGTCGCCTAAGACCATCAGAAAACAAAAACATATTTACATTATGATTCATAACAGTAGCAAAATTACAGTTATAGAGTAGCAACGAAAATAATTTTATGCTTGGGGGTCACCACAACATGAGGAACTGTATTAAGGGGTCGCGGCCTTAGGAAGGTTGAGAACCGCTGGCCTAGGCAATCAGAAAAATTGTTTTAAAAGGCAAGACTGGTGAAGTTTTCTACATTTTTCTACATTTTATATATTTCCTATAAAAAGCACATATGACTTAAAATTTAGACAGAGGTGGGAAGACTAATGGTAAGTTCTGAAAAATCTACTTACCAGGTCATGCGCCTGATTCCATTTCCATAAGGATCACTAAGTTTTTCCATGCTACACTCTGTTTACATCGTCACCTTGTATGGTTTAGAATCGAGTAAATGCTTCAGGAAAACAGCGTTTGCTAATAACTAACTTATTACCAAGTTAAGTGCTGAATAACTAACTTACAGTTTGGTCTTGTGATCATAGCAAAGTGCCAAGTGTCTATGTAGGAATCTTAAGGGTTAAAACATCTTGATACACAGGTCTGCTGCACAATAGCGAAAACACAGTTAACACTCCTGAACTGTATACTTAAAAATAGTTAAGACGGTAAATGCTATGTTATGTGAGTTGGACAATTAAAAAAATTTTCTTGAAGCTGACGTATAAACCAAACTGTTATTTCAAGAGGTTTCCTAAGTACTGCTTTGCCACAGATAGACTCCTACCTGAATGTCAGAGCTGTAACAGCTTTAAGATTTGAGTGATGGATTTAAGATTTAATATGAAGGCTGCTTAAGATTCTACAGGCTGCACATGATCTCATGTAACATCTCAAGCAGTGGCTCTCCGAGCATGGCTGGGCCTGGACCAGGAATAGGATACAGATTCTCAGGCCCCACCCCAGGCTAGGTGAATCAGAAACTCTGGGAGTGGGACCATGAATCTGTATTTACTGAGGTTAGCAGGCCCATCCAGTGATTCCGATGTGTGCCAAACCGTGAGAACCACTGATCCAAAGTCATCTCGCATAGCAGAGAGGTGGGCTGCAGCCCAGGATTGGGGGAAAATGAGGTGGTTGCTAGTTAAGGTGTTGGGCTTTAGAGTCCATGTTTGAACCCCAAGCCCTCTACTTACCAGCTGTGGGCCCTGGAGTAAGTTAGCTGCTGTCTCAGACCCTCAGTTTCCGTATCTGTAAAGTGGATCTCCCCCACAGGGTGGTTGGGAGGATTGCACAAGCTACAGGCAAGCCCTTGGTACAGTGCTGGCCAGTAGCAAGCTATGCGTGCTGCCTCGGCTATGTGCCAGCCCAGCCCTGGCGCCAGACACAAAACCACCTCCCAAGAAGCCTTGGGGCAGGGGTCCTCAACTGTTTGTGGGCCGTGGGCCCCTCGGCAGTACAGTGAAGCCCTCGAACTCCTCAAAAGAATGTTTTTAGAGGCATTAAGAAAAATACATAAGATGACATAGAAAACCAATTGCTGTGTGTATACACACACACACACACACACATTATCAATATTAAAATAATGGGTGATATGGAAAATAAAAAGGGTAGTCCATTCTGTGACATGGAACAATCCTACAGCTAACATTGGTTTTTCCACCTCTATCAGTAGTATGTAATTGAAAGCTCAGCTGCCTTCTTGGAACACAGACGCAGAGCCTCCAATTTCGCAGAATGTGTAGCAGTAGATAACTGATTCATCTTCTCTTCTCTCCCCATCCCACCCTTTTTCTCTAACACCAGGGTCCAAGCACCCTAGATGACCTCTTTAAAGAGCTGGACAAGAATGGAGATGGAGAAGTTAGTTTCGAAGAATTCCAGGTGGTACTGAACAAGATAGCCCAGTGAAAGAAAACACAAAATGCTATTATTCTGATGATCCAGAGAACAGCACCTGACTTGTGGCCTATTCGAGAGTCTCCAATGCCTCTGTTTAAGTCTTTCCAATTATAATGACCTGGCAGTGATAGCTGGTTATTACTAATAAAGAATTTCTTAGACGTGCTTCACCTTGTCTATTACTGATCCCCATAGTTCAATAGATTTGAAAGTCACCTTAGTGTGATGCATCTAATTTTATAGATTAAAAAAAAAAAGGTCCAGAATAGTTCCATGATCTTGACAAAGCCTACAAAGATGGTGTCAGAGACGTGAAAGAATCCTGGCCTGCAAAGCAACTCCCTCACTCCACTCTTCCACCGGAATAACCCTCTCCTTGCTCTCCCTCCCCGACTACCTAGTGCTCGCATCATTTCCAATGTCAACTCTAGTCAATAGCTAGTGAGAAACTTACTTAAAAAAACAGACACTTGTCTTTAAAGTCAATTCCCAGGACTCACGGTGCTTTCTGAATCAATGACTTGCTCAGGGAGTAGAAGGTACACAGCACCAAGGGTCAGTTCTGTTCCATCGCTAAGGGGGCGGCCTTGGTTCTGGTACGTGATGTGTAACATGAAAAGGACAGGAAGACATAGGGCCCTGCCAGCTCTGGCACCCTGTGCTGCCGGGACTCTGGGTGTCTGAGAAACAGCTTGCCCTCAAGTTCCCCTTGCTGAGTGCAGCTGTGGGGAGGGAGGTGGGGAGGGAGTGTGGGAGGGGAATTTAACGGGGGAAAAAATAAGAAAACTGACTTCTAACCCTCCACCAAAAAACAAAGGAAATTTGTATATACAGCGAGGGAATATTTAAATACAATCTGGATCATTCTAACTCAACACAAGTGCATTCTCATGGCATCAAAAGCCCTAAACATTTCTAATGACTAATTATATTCCACTGTAGGGATAGCCCATAATAGCCTTAACTATTTCCCCATTGTGGGGCATTTAGATTATTGCCACTTCTGACTCTTCTAAATAATGTCATAATGAGTACCTGTTCGTATCTCTGTCAACATATCAGATTTCCTTAGGAGAATTTCTGGGAAGTAAACGTCTGAGTCAGAGGGTATGAATATTTTTATGGTTTGTGAAACAGACCACCTAATTGATTTTCCAAAAGGTTGTATTGATTCATATTTCTACAAACAGGCAGGAGAACGCCAGCTTCACTCCCCAGACAGCATTAGTCGGTCTCATTTTAACAACTTTATTAGTCACAAGAGTGCACATCTTTCATTCATTTCTGGTTTTAATAGGACTCGCCTACCATTTCCCCACTGAGTGTGCTGTTGGATATTGGTTTATAAGATATTCTTTCTCATGTTTAAAAATTACCCTTCTCTTCCTAGCTTGTTATGAGATTGTGAGCACCAGGGTTTAGATACTCGAGACTGCCTACTGAGCATCTGTAGTGATATGAGGGTTCTCTGTTTGATCAATATGATGCGTTAATCAATTTAATTCCTGAGACATACTATCCAGTCATGATTGAGTAATCTTTAGTGCTTTTAGGCACTCTAATATTTTTACTTAAGTGTTTCACATCTTTATTAGTAACTAATATTAGTCTCCAGTTTGGAGTTTTATCTTTTGTTGCATGTGCTTTGTTGAGTTCTAATACTTACATCATGCTAGCCTATGTCCTAATCTCAGTGAGCCACTTGCTGAGTAAATACACATTATCTCTTACAATGCCAACATATATAAAGCGCCTACTGTGGGCAAGGCAGTATACAAGATGCCTTAAGAGATACCCATTTCCAGGTCTCTGAGATCTTAAGTCAGGAAGTCTGGGACCAGGTCAGGGAAAGGCTTAATGGAAGAAGCAGTATTTCAACTGGGATTTGTGGGAAGAGGCTTGAGGGGAGTCTGCATGGAGTGGGCAGCAATGGGTATTCAAAAGGAGAGAAAACACCCCAAGTAAACACATGATGCCCCAGTGCAAGGCAGTTCAGGGAAGATACACACTCTATTTTGGGTGTAAGCCAGCTACGAGGAATGAAGAGGCCACGCTTGCTTCAGATCATGAAAGTCCTTGGTTGCCATGCTGAACAAAGGTCAGAAAAGGGGCAGGAAGGTGTAGGAGTCACAGAGTGACATGAATGTGCTTTAGGAAGATGAGGTGGCACCAACAAAGAGTCTGCAGTGGCGGGAAGGGTGGTCGCAGAGTGGAGGCCGTGGCTAGGCAGAAGGCCTCCGGGGCACGATGCTGACACACAGGAAATGCACTGAGAAGTACCTTCTCTGCATGGCTGACGTGGACGAATTACGGTTTGAGGGTTAACCCTCAGGAGGGGTGAAAACACACGGAGCAGTGTGTGTGGTGTGGGCGTGCGGTGTCTGCATGTGTGTGGGTGGGTGTGTGTACGTGTCGATTTTGTTGTCCTTGGCCAGGTTTCCAACATGGACCTCATCTCCCACACCCAACAAGATTCACCTGAATTTCCTCTTGAATCAACAGGATCAGCACTTTTGTCAATCACCAAACTGCAATTCTTATTAGACTATAAGTTCCACCAGGGCAAGGATTTCTATCTGTTTTTTCCCTGATGTGTCCCCAAGTCTAGATCCGGGCCTGGCACATGGGAGAGGCCCAATAGCTATTTGCTGAATGACTAATTCTTAACTGTCCTGTCACTAAATCTTGTTGATTCATTCCTTAAAGTCGCTCTGCCGGCCAGGTGTTTCTACTTTAACTCCTGCTCCAACCTATAGCTCCTTAGATCACAGACCCAGGCTGCTGTAATCCTCAACCATGCACCCTGCGTGGAGTCTTTTCTCCTCTCTCAGCCCTCTATCTCTCATGCCAGCTGAATCTCCCCAAAGTGCCCATTCTATTGGAAAGCCTTCAGTAACGAGGATGGTATTAGCATAATATGTCTTAGTTAACAGGTGTTATCTTATTGATTCCCTATTGTCTTCAGGACTAATTTTGACACTGACACTCAAGGTCCTCCACAAATCCTCACCAATCTCCTCTTTCCCTTCACTTCCCTATAGGAGTCATGTGCTTCAGCAAAGCTACTCGCTATTTTATGACCAAATGTTGGACATTCCGGCCTAGCACACGCTCCCCCTCCCTTCTATTAAGTCTCCAAGCCTTTGACAATCTTCTTACTCTAACCCATGGTATTTTTCCCTACTGAACTCTTAAGTATCTAAGGTCTACCTGTGCTGTGTCCTACCCTGACCACTAGATCAGCTGGCTATTGACATTTAAATTAATTAAAGTTAAATAAAATCTAAAATTCAGTAGCTACATTTCAAGTGCTCCGGAGCCCCATGTGGCTAGAAGCTACCATAACAGATGGCACAGATACAGAACATTCTACCATGGCAGAAAGTTCTAGTTGATAGTGCCGGTAGCATTAAGGAGGGCGTACTCACGTACTGCCCATGTATTTGGTTATATGTGTCACCAGTCTGTTTTGTATCTGCAACTAAACTGCAAACAGGATTGTGGCAACAGCTCATTTGTAATATACTATGTTTAGGACCACACTAAAATGGATGTGCTCCAAACACACAGTGACTTTTTCCTTTTTAATAATCTCTTTCCACTAGCATCCGGTAATTTCTAGTGCAAAAAAAATCTTTCAAGTGGTTGAAATACCTATTCCTAAGGCATTTCCCATTGAGCTCAAGGTATAAAAGCTTTAAAATACATTAGCTTTGAAGGACTCATTTAGTCATGAATTTATTGTTAAAATCATGGACTACCCCTGTGATTCACTCATTGGGCTTACTCCTAGCCATGCTGTCTCTTTTCAAAAAGTAGGCTCAGGTAAGGGGGAGGGTGGCGTGGAAAAGATGCCCTAGCCATTAGGCAGTGGCCATCAGGCCTGGAAGAATTTTTTTTTTCTCCATGCAGAAAGCAGTCACTATGGCCAATGGCCTGATATCAACTCTGAACCTACCATCCCCACAGAGACAGGGTTAAATGGCTACTAGGCTCCCAGGCTGGCCCATAAAAGGCTATTTTACCCATAGTGTAGCTGTCCTTGACAGCTGCTTTTATGGGGAAAAAGTTCTTCAGCCCAAACTAAGCTCCAAATGACTTCAATAAGGTCGTTTTGTTAGTTGGGAGGTATTTACTACAATGTTCTAAATGCAAAGCAGTCTTCAAAGTAGTAAAAGTTGCCTAAAAGGTCACTCTAAGTGGTGGTCTGGTTTTTTTTTAACATCTCTTAATTTGTTTTCCATGTGAAGTCGTTGAAAAAATTAATATGGGAGAAGAAGATATTTCAAACAGAGCTTCAACTAAAGGTGGGAAAATGTTATGCATTAATTGTGCCTAACGAATAACACAAATTACCTTCTACCTGAATTTACTTTTAATTATTTGTGACTATTTCACAAATCCACTGTGTCAGAGGTAAAAATTATTTTTGACTTTGGAAATCCCTGGATCAAAAAGGTGTAAAAGGAGTCACATCTATGATAAATAACTAGAAGTGAAATATTATCAAATACCTCAATCTCAAATTTCCATTGGCATCTACTTAAAACCCTTCAAATTTCTCAGTTTTCCTTACGAATACCACCATCCAAGTGAACATGTGTGTGTTGATGTGTCTGAAGGTGGAACATGGGTTTTGTTTTCAGAATGTTATATCTTATGGAAATTCAGATTTTTAAAGTTACTGTTTTCAATAAACGGAAAAGAAATGCTAAAAATTAAGTACATCCATATACCTAAACATTGGGTTGAGATCCTTTTCCTATATATGTCTCAAAAGCCAAAGATACTCTAAATATAAAGTCCATGATGCCATGAACTCTCCTCCACTTGAATGGGGGAGGTCCAAAGCCAAATTCAAGATCAAGGGTGTCAGCAGCAGCCATGTGATTGATATAGTCAGAATGCCAAGTCAGCTACAGCTGTGTTCCTTGTAAGCATCATCTAGAAGGCAGGTCAAGCTACTCTGAAGCAGGCCAAACACTCAGTCTTGCTGTGGAACCCTAAATTTCTGCAAAGTCCCAGAGCCTTCTATTGCACCTTGTGGATTAAGCAGAGAAATGACATGATAAAATAATTTTACTCACTCTCTCCTGGTACTCTCAGACTCAGAGTCTACCTTCACTCTGAGAAAAAATTTTATTTCTCCTTTTATGTGTAAAAGAG